CACACACACATATACATATCTTTTTAATCAATTTAATTTCAATACTTATTAAATATTTGATACTTGAAATGGTCGTTTTTACGGTTGTGATACATGCTTTTTTAACCAATTTGATCCTTATAATTATAAATATTATACAGTTAGCACTTGTATTTATTAAACCAATATCAAATGTTTGAAAGCATAAGTGGATTCCATATTACAATTTGTTATAATTTAAATTTTACATAATTATTACTTTTATAAGTTATTTAATATAATAATTTTATGTGATTTTAGTTAATTTAATTTAAAGTGTATTATTTGTATTAATTTATTTAATATGCATCATTTTGTGTGATGTTTGATAAACACGAGTGTTAAAAATGTAATGTTTAACAAATGTAAGTACCAATCTCATTCAAAGAAAAACACTTGTACCACTTTTATAAAAATGAAAAAATCTAATACCAAATTGCTTATAGGAACTTGTACCAAATTGCTCTCTAATAATATAAATCCTCAGTATATAAAGAAGAAATACAATAAGGTGCTCACTTCACTACCATTTCTTGTATCGAACCAGAGACGGACCCAGGATAAAAATTCAGGGGTTGCAATAGTCCCAGGGTGGCACTTGTATTAAGAGTGGCACTTGTATTAGGGGTGACACTTGTGGAGGGGTTGCTTGGGATACCCCGGACACCATGGCACCATGGAGGTCCGCCTCTGGATGAGGGGTTTCCTGAGATACCCCGGGCACTATGGAGGTCCGCCCCTGTATCAAACCATATCAAGAACCTTTAGGTTTTTCTTGTATTTGTCAAATGAGTGATGTCCTGTTTTCTTCAACAATATAATCAGGGATGAATCGAATCGAAAGAGTATTAAAAAAAATTCTATTTCTTAAAAAATTTCAAACTTTGATATAGTTTAAATATTATTTTTACTTCTTTGATTTTATATTTCATGAAATTCTATAATTTACGCTCTCAAATTTTTAATATCTTATTAAAAGTTTGCAATTTGACAAATCTCACATCTCTTTGTGAATATAAGATCAAATTTATAATTTATAACGTCGATAAACAATAATTTTATTATTCTAACTTATTGTAATTATGAAATTCGTGTGGGTAAAAAATGTCCGAGTCGTCAATTCTTGTAATAAATAATTGAAGTGAGAAAACGTGTGATAGTAAAATAGTTTTCATTGGCTTCCACTGCCTATGGGCACGTGGGAGAGATTCCCTTGGTTTCTCTATATTTGTTATATGGACCCAATGATATGAAACTTTCTGTACCTTCAACAGCAAATGGAAAAAGAAAAATGACACTAAGAAAATGAAAACAATTATGATTGGATTTGATCATGCTATTGGATGACTGCACTCATTTATTTCACTAATATTATTAAATTAAAAAAAAAGCAATCATATTTAATGATAAATGTGAATTCCCTTTGAAATTATGTTAATGTTATTTTTAAAATTTAATTATTCATTAAAAATAAAAAAATAAAAATATATGTTTGTATTTGGGGTACAAAACCTTTAATTCTAGTTGTAGTTTAGTAGTATATTCTACTTATAAATGCAATGGAAAGTAGGATTCAGAGGGCTCTATACTTTAATTATAAAGAAACAAATTCATAAGTAAACTAAGTAAACTAATAGGGAAAAAGACAAACTTTGAGAAAAATACTTGTATACAAGTCTGAATTTGATTTGATGATGCCTCAGTTGATCAGGATGACGCTTATTTGTTATCATGTTTATCTGTCATGTTTTGGACTCTTATATTAAATTTTAATACGCAGTTTGCGTTTAGAAATAATTTTCTCATGATGTTCGAATATAATTTGCGATTGTCGATGGTCTTTTAATAGTTTGATTCTCTGTTATGGTTCGCATGTCAATGCAATCTGATCTGTTCGTATATTTTGTTAAAATTTTTTGGATGAGTTTTTAACATTTTTCTTATATGCTCCTTGTATGATCTCAAACGACTAGTTTCATGTGTCAATGACTATAAAATATATCCTAATTATGTGTTTAGTTTACATTTATGGATATATACCTTTACTATAATTTTGGTTTTTAAAGAAAATTAACTAGTTTTATTTGAATAACAAATTCTATATAAGGTTTATAGGAGTAAAATTTATAGGAATATTGAATTATTTAACTCTAAAATAGTTTAAAGGAAGGGTTGGTAGTTTAACTTATTTAACTACTTTTATTTGCATAAAAAATTATACAAAGATTTTTTTAATTAAAAGGATCTCATTCAAAATCCTTCCTAAACTTAAAAAGGGAAAATTGTGCCCAACCTTCATTAGCCATTAATGTTTCGCCGAGGACTTGTTTAAATGAAGGGTTGACTGTAGGGACAAGATTCGCTTACCTTATATAAAACTAATAAGTTTCACACCAATTTATAATCATTAGATTAAATAATAAATGACTTAAATTTAATTAAAATTTATAATCTATAAATAAATATTTTTAACTCACAGTAAAACAGTATCACTTTTTACCTTAATCTCTAATCCTAAACCCTAAGCCCAAAAATTTAAAACCCTAAATCATATACCCTAAATCTCACCCTAAACTCTAAATCATAAACCCTAAACACAAGCTTTAAGCCCTAAAGTTTAAATCTTAAACCTTAAATCCTAAATCCTAACTCTAAAAGGAAAAAAATATTGTTTACAATGAGTTAAAAGATTTTATTTATGGGTTATAAATTTTAATTAAATCTAATTCATTCATTTATTTAAATATAATGACTATAAATTGGTGTAAAACTTATTAATTTTTACATAGTGTAAGTGGATCTTAACCATTTATAATATAGTGTTAGGATCCACTTAAACATAGCATAAACTTTTAGTTTTACATTATTTAGGATCGTTGGATGTAGGAAAATCAAAGACTGAGATCAACTCCTTATTTTTCTCAGTGAATATCTTATCATTTCCTACTATTAATCTCAACCTTTGATTTTCCCTCATCCAACGATTTTAAAAGGTGTAAAACTCTTTTAGTTTACACATTTTAAGACCGTTGGATCAGAGAAGTTAAGGACTGAGATTAATAGTAGAAATAAGAAATGTTCATTGAAAAAACAATGAGTTAATCTCAACCTTTGATTTTTCTCAATCCAACGACCCTAAAAAGTGTAAACTATAAAAGTTTTTTATATGTAAATGTGGATCCTTACCCATATATATATTATTATGGTTAGGATTCACTTACATTATGTAAAATTAATAAATTTTATACTAATTTATAGCCTTTAGATTTAAACAAATAAATAAATGACTCAAATTTAATTAAAATTATAACCTAAATAAATATTTCTTCTACTCATAGTAAAACAATTTTTTATTTTTAGTTAGGGTTTAGGGTTTAGGGTTTAGGATTTAAGGTTTATAGTTTGGGTTTGAGGTAGGGTTTTGAGGTTTTGGGTTTGAGATTAAGATTCAGGTAAAAATATTGTTTTAATATGAGTTAAAAATATTATTTTTGGGCTATAAATTTTAATTAAATCTAAGTTATTATTTATTTAAATCTAATAGCTATAACTTAATGTAAAACCTATTGTTTTACATAGTGTGAGTGGATCTGTGTATCTTGTGTGTGTATATATATATATCTTTAATTAAGTAAAAAGTTAACCAATAAAACAAAGCTTTTTAGAATCTTGAAGATGGAAACTTTGAGACTTTTATATATAAAAAAAACTAATTAATTAATAGCTTTTTAATAACTATCAATGTAAGAACGAGTAATTATACTTAAGGTGACTTAATTGGGTTTGATAATAAATAAGTTATCTTTCTTTTAAAGGTTACAAACAGATCTATAGTTTGTTTAGGGTAGACACGTGATCACTTAATTATGGATTTGTTTAGGGTGAACATGTGACCCTGCATAAGCAGTGCTTGAAACTGAAATTTTAAAAAATAATAATAAATTTCTTAATTGGTGTGGTTGTTTGATTCGTGCCTAATAAACATTTAAATATCGAAACTGTAGAAGTGGATTATATATGTACAATTTATGTAATATTTGAATTTGAATAGCAAAATCTACTTTAATATCTAAACTTGTTAATTAAGCATATTAAATTTAAATATTATTTCAATATTTAAACTTGAACTTGATAATTTTGTGCCAAAAAAGAACTTGAACTTGATAGTTATACAAGTAATTTTTTCTTGAATGGCATATAACTGGTATTTAAATATGAATTAATTATCCGTAAAAGTAAAACAAATTCAAATAATGAATGCACGAACTACATTATCTCATGATTAAAAGAATGACTCTTATTTTTAGGTGTCCAAGTTTGAGCGTCAGAGACTTGCATAGTATTTGAACATTTATTGTTAAAGGATTGAGAGTCTTTAGCACAATTACTACCACTCTAAACCCATAAATTAATAAAAAAAATCAGATAATGATATCAAAATATTATATCTATATTTACTTAGAATTTAAATGAGATAAAAGTTAACTTACCTAAATATGAACATAATTAAATAATATCCAAAAACATCAAAATACTAATTAAATTATATTTTTAAAATTTCTTATTTCATATTTAAATATTTACTAAATCTTTAAAAAATATATAAAAATTAACTATTTAATTTCTCCCAAAATGTAACCTTAGATTTGGTACATATCTGCATTATGTATTACCATTTGGATATTTATAAGTAAAGATCCGCCGTCGACAAGAAGTGTGTGACAGTGTGGGGGGGGTCGGTGTCAAATGTATTATATAGGCTGTTGCATCCATTGCCTATACAACAAGGAAATAAAAAAGAAACCCTATCTTTTAGAAAAAGAAAACAATAAAATGAGAAATTATGGTTCCAAACAATGGTAACGACTGCACAGCAACCTGGACCAATGGGAGCCCGACAGCACATTCGTCTAAAACCACTCTGGTTTTCACTCTCCACTTTCCCTAAAACCACTGCTTCTGTTCCATTTACAATCCTATATGTGTTTTTTCCTTTCCACACACTCTCTGCAAACACTTCATATTTATCAAATCACAAGAAGCTGAGACCTAAAAAGGGTTCCACCCGGTTTATTAGGTATAATATTTGTTTACAATTACTTGGATCTGTTTCCTTTTAGTGTGTTGAGAATCTGGGTTTTGCTTGTTTTGGCGATCAGATATTAGAACAATGGGGAGAGGTAGGGTTCAATTGAAAAGGATAGAAAATAAGATCAACAGACAGGTTACTTTCTCCAAAAGGAGAGCTGGTTTGTTGAAGAAAGCTCATGAGATCTCTGTTCTCTGTGATGCTGAAGTTGCTTTGATTGTCTTCTCCCACAAGGGCAAACTTTTTGAGTACTCCACTGATTCCTGGTAAAATAACTAATCCATTTCTGGGTTTTCCTTTTAAACTCACTTTCATGCAAGGTTAACAGTTTAGCTAAAAGAAGACACATCTTCTCAAAACGTAACGAAGAAATTAGAACATCAGTAGGGGATCATCAAAGTAGCAAAAGAAAGGAAATTTTGGGGAAGAGCTTTGTCAAATCTGGCTAATTAAACAAGTTTTGACCAACGGAAGAACAATAATTTTTTCCCTTTTTGATTCTTTTGTTTTCATGTCCAATGGCCTAACTTTCTTAATTAGGAGAAAACACACACAAAAGAATTACATGAACTAAATTGATAATACTTGAAACCCTATTTCCCTTTGCCTTTATGTTTCGCGGGTTCATGGTTTACATCTTCTGCTCAGTAGCTCATCAAACCCTAAACCCTTTATGGTTTCTTCAAGAACTCCCAGATCTAAACAGAAAACCCTAAAAGACGATTTACATTTTATAGTTTGAGGGGGGGGGGAATAGAGGGATTTACACCCAAAAATCATTTATAAATCTTGAATATTCATTTCTTTTAGCTTAGCTCTAAACTAAAATGAAATACTCACTTATATATTATAAAAATTTCCTTATTCATACCTATATATTTTTTAGTATATAGAAAAAATTATATAAACCCTATAACAATGAACAGTAAACTCTTTTTTTTTTCTGAAAATGAAAAGTAAACATTATACATACTAAATTATGAAGTGTAGTTTTATCTAATTATTTATTAATTATTAGTTTGATTTATCTAGTAATTTTTTGTTGGTGCTTGACTTATTAAGGATTGTTTGATTATACTGTAATTTTTACAATTACATGCAAAAGAACAAGAAAAATCTATATACACAGCCTTTAGGATTAAGCATTTGCGTTTTCTGCATGTTTTTCAGTATGGAGAAATACTTGAACGATACGAAAGGTATTCTTATGCTGAGAGACAGCTAGTTGCTTCAGAATCTCAACCTCAGGTATATATAATTATATATAGAGAGAGAGAAAGAGAGAGAGAGAGCAAATACCATAAAAAAGTGTGATGTTCTGCAGGTAATTGGTCCATGGAGTATAACAGACTTAAGGCCAAGGTTGAACTCTTGCAGAAAATCATAGGTATTTAAATTTATAAATTATTATATCTAAATTCGGAAGTGTTGAATTTAAATATGCGTTCGACATTCGTTTATTCAATTTAAAATTATGTCTTTTTACCCATATATTTACAAGAATGTATTTTATATAAAAATGACAAACCCTAGTACGTAGGTTGAACAGATCATTTTTGGGATACTAAAACTTTTGTTATTTGAACTTGAGTGAGCGTGGTACATGACTGTATGTTCAATAATATATTCAACATCTCAATTCTTAAACATTCCAGGAACTATATGGGAGAAGATTTAGACTTACTGAGCCTCAAAGAGCTGCAGAACTTGGAACAGCAGCTTGATACTGCTATAAACATTCGATCTAGAAAAGTACGCTTTTCAACAGCTTTTATAGGGGTGTTTCTTATCATTCAATTGGAACCGTCTTAATGCTGTTTTAATGATGAGATAATTGATCTCTGCAGAACCAACTCATCTGCGAATCTATCTCTGAGCTTCAGAGAAAGGTAAAGCCTCTCAAAACATATGGTTTGCTTGTCAATCATGGATGTATAAGTTATATACTGTTATACACATGTATGCATGTGTTCATATATATATTCAATAACTTGTATATATCATTACAAAATGATTTTGTTACAGGAGAAGGCGATACAGGAGCAAAACGCCATGCTAGCAAAGCGGGTGAATTTCATCTTCTAGGTTTCATAATATGCATTCAAATTCGGTCATTGCTATGGCTGTGTGAATACAAACCTATATATATGTGTGTGTGTTTTGCTAAGCCAGAAGTTTTGTTAATAATCTCCGAAAGATACAAAACTAGTATGTATATTTAAGAGGAAATAAGAATAAAGAGGTTGAGTTGGCATTTGCAGATCAAGGAGAGGGAGAAGACAGTGGTGCAGCAGTCGCAATGGGGGCAGCAAGAATATGGCCTCAACACATCATCTTTTCTGCTGCCTCAGCCACCCCCGCCGCATCCTTGTTTGAATATCGGGTAACATTTCTTCTTGCTCTTGAATCAGATAAGGTATGCCACTTCCATATGTTTTCATTGGAAAAAAATGAAAAGTTGAAGTACAATAGATTTGCATCCAGCCAAAGTAGTTTCGGATTATAAAAAATGGTGTGATCATAACTTGCTTCTACAATTTGTGATGCAGTAGCACTTACCAGGAAGAGGCAACTGAAGTGAGGAGGAATGAACTTGACCTTACCCTTGAACCTATTTACCATCTGGGATACTTTGCTGCATGAAATTGGTACTATATGTATGTATGTATATATGTATGTATAAATGCGTGCATGCATAAAAATGCTTTGTTTTAGCAGCTAATTATGAAGTTTTGGATTGTGTGAATAGGAACAGTGATGGATTTGCATTATCATGGTAAAAGAAAGGGTTGAGGAATTCTTTCAAACTCATGCTTTTATGTATGTTCCTATTTTGACGTGTATATGTATAAATACATATATGTGTCTATGATAAATGTATAATATATATATATATATCCATGGATGTTGGATTTCCCATAATTAGTAATCATGATCAATTGCTACTTTATTTTAAGTTAGGATTTCATATTCAGTTATGTATTAATTTGTAATGGTGTACTTCACTAAGCATATTTATAGTATTAAATATAGTGAGTATTAAAGATGATATTATGAGTGTCGATAATCATAGTCTCATGTTTGTATCTTAAAATAAAAACGATATTATTAAGAAGATAATCACAGACTCAAGATATGAATCTTAAAATGAACATTAAAGATTAAAAAAAGTACCTTCTTTCAAATTCTTTTATTTGAACATTGTACATAATTCGAATAAAATTTTTTAACCACGCAAGAACGAGGGATTTAAAATCACTAGGCATCACTATCTTGATCAGATATTTAAATAGCGGATGAATAGCGATATCACATTCGTTATATCGCGATCGCGGTGATATCCGAAACCGCTATTGCGGAAAATAATAGTGTGAAATGGGATCACACCAATAGCGGCGGATCGTGACCGCAATTTAAAAGATCGCGACCAATCACGACCCCTATTCCTATATTGTTTCGTTATTTTTTTAATAAAAAACAGGTTTTTTTATTTAAAAAAAATAAACTCATTCGAAAAAAATTTACGTTCGCGATATCCGCAATAACATTCGTTATATCTGTAATCATGATAAACGTGACGCGACCGCAAACTCTATTTAAATCCCCATAAACAGAAACAGCGAAGCCAAAGCCTCTAGGTCAATGGACAGTGACAAAACAGATGGGCTGTAGATTGTTCGACTTTCATACAGAAAGGACATGTCTTTTGATCAGACGACACAATTCCCCTACAACGAAGTTTAGATTTAACGGGCAATCTTTCAAGAACTAATCTCCACAGGGAAAATTGAACTTTGGGAGGGATACAATTAATCCAACAATCTCCCATACTGGAACATTCTCCACATCAGTCGAGGATAATAGCTCACAAAACTACTTCGGACGATAAAATCCATTCGGACATAATTTCTAAGAGAGTCTATCCTGACGCCAAGTATTAGCCGAGAATAGGCTAAGTGTAGCGAGAGAGCTATCCTATTAGCCTTTTTTCCAATCAAAAAGAGAACTCCGTAAGGAGATCGACCACTGTCAATAGCCGTCAATGACATCACCAAACTTTACCTATTGATAACATGATCTTCTCTTGTCATAGCAAAGATAATCAAATCGTCTATAAATTGTAGATGTGATAGAGATAACCCATCATCAACTAAAATATTGTAAAAAAGTCTGATTTTGGAAGCCTTTTTGAGAGCCATACTTGGGTCTTCTGCAACAATATTGAATAACAAGAGCGAGAGTGGACACCCCTGATGTAATTCCCTTTTTGGACGGAAAGAGTTAGAAGGAACACCATTGACCAGAATAGAGATTGAGGCAGACCATATGCAAAATTTTATCCAAACTAAAACCCATCATTCTCATAAAAAAATAGAAATGTCCAATCAATTGAGTCGAAGGTTTTCTGAAAGTCTGTTTTAAAAATAATCGCTTTGTCTCCTCTTTTGCGGACTAGATCGACCATTTCATTAACGATAAGGGCACGACACATTCATTTTTTTTCTCCTCCTTTGTAGAACGACCAGCCATCTTAAAGAAACTTAATGCTCATGGTGCACAGAATTCATCCGAAGGGGTTTGATGGAAGGAGAAGAAATGTAAGACCTAACTTTTATTAAGAGACGCTTGTTTGTAGTTTTGTTTTATGTTAGCAAATCAACTTTTTTATGACTAAGCTTGTTTTAGTTCTTTGCATCCTTAATCATGGTTAATGATATATTTGTCATACAGAGGCAGATTCAAATACTATTTCATTTCCGTTCTAAAATACTTGGTTACCTGTTTGATCAGGCATTAACCTTTAGTTGTAGACTCTGACATGTTGAAAAATTACATGATTGTTGTTTTGCCAGTCCAAAATGATATTATTTGGGGCCTTTGGTCTTTATCTTCTATAGTTTTATCTACTACAATCGATTTTATTCAATTTCTTGCAAAATGATATTCAAGCTACATCAACTTTAGTTGCTAAAGAATCCTTTTCCCTGTCTTTCAATATGCACATTCTGTAATAATATTTGTTGTAATATGATATGAAAAACTTGAATTGTTTGTATAATTTTCCATTCATGGTAAGCGTGATTTCAGTTTTCAGTGGCCGAGCTCTTAAAAGTTATATATTTCAATTTTTCCTCTCCACAATGATGAAGCAACAGGATTTACATGGAACATGTTTCTTTTCCGTGTTAAAACTTGGTTTAAATTGATGGCTTTCAATCCGCAGAAGCACAAATCGAAGAAGGCAATAATGGAGGAGGGTATTTTGAAGAGCAAGTTTTTCAAGGTAAAAGTTCAGATGCATCATAAAGTTTACTCTATTGTTTCCTGATTGTTCTTGAGTCTTTGCTTCTGGTTTCTCATTTTCTATCGGTCTTGTTTCATACCAGGCACAGAAGGCAAGAGATAAAGAAGAAAATGAGCTACTGATGGAAGAATTAGATAAGAACTTCACGTCCTTAGTGCAGTCCCAGGCCTTATTGTCCCTCACCGAGCCAGGCAAGATGAATGCCTTGAAAGCTCTTGTGAGCAAGAGCGTTCCAGATGGGCATGTGAAAAGGAAGAGTTACCCATTGCACAGAGAGCTGAAACTTCAAAGAAGGTGTGCGGTTATGGTTCTGAGTTTGGTCTTATTAAAGTAAATAGCATTCCTTGGTCTTGCAAAGGTGGTCTGCTAAAGTACCCTTTTCCATAAAAGGACAAAGTAACCTTGGAAAGTATGGCAATTTCGGTTTGGAATTCATTGATTCCTTGGCGTGATTCGGGATCTGAACACTTTATAGCAACGGCGGTGAGTGTATTTCCATTAATAATGAACCCCTTGTACACCTTTCCGAATCCTCCTGAACCAAGTAATAAAGCATCCGAGAAGTTCTCGGTCGCCATCTTTATCTCAGCAAGAGTGAAGTGTAGGCAGTCATTTGATGATGGTAAATATTTAGCCGCTCTTATTTTCCATTTCAAGTAAGATCGCCATCGTAACTTTAAAAATAAGAGGACAACCACCGTAGAAAACAGACAGTATTAAACCAAGCACTGCCAAAAGTATATCGAAAACAATTCGCAGGATGTTAGGAGAGGTTGCAGATGAAAGTACATTTCTTGCTTTGAATGGATTAGGTCCCTCGAGGGAGTTGTTGATAGTTTGAAGATTTCTAACCTGTCGTAACCGGTTTTCGTCCGGGCACGAAATATTATACTTGGCGGGGAAATTGATGTGAATAAATAGTTTTGAAAATAATTTGAGAGTCACCATCGGCCTTTTGGATCAGGTAGGTCGAATACCTAAAAATTATTATTATTTTTTTAAAGAATTTTAAGAAAACATCAATTAAAAAAATAATCTGATCTGCGTTTATAACCAAAAATTCATTCTTTTTAATAATAAAAAGGGATTCGTGGTCGATTACGTTTAGGGAAGGATTAACACCCCTACAACGCCCAAAATTGGTACTTTTTAATTATAAATTGTCTCTATTGTTAAAATTTAAAAATTCAAAAATATATTTAGTTTATAATCCTATTATTTCAAAATTATATAAAAATATTTATTTATTTAAAAAATATCAGAAAAGAACTTCTAGGTGCCTTAAGACAGCTCTTTTCTTTGATATTGATAAATATTAATTTAAAAATAAATTATTTAATTTTTAATTTTAAAATATCAGAATAGGACATCCAGTTGTATTAAGACTGTCCTTTTCTTTGATATTGATAAATAAATATTAAAATGATTTATTTAAAATAAATATTTATTTATTGTATATTTTTAACAACATTTAAATATATAAACAAATAAAAATAAAAAATACAATTCTAACTATATATTTAAAAGCAATAAAAAATACTTAAAATAAATAACTAAAATATAGTGAAATTAAAATTGAAAACCTAATTCCTAATTAATCAGAATTACAGGGATTAACATGCTATTTTCTTTTTTTATAATTTAGTGACTAAAATAAAATTATCTAAAATTCGGATATTATAATAAAATAAAATAAAAATATAAACTAGGGATTAAAATATTATTTATTAAAATTAATGGATTAAATCTGTTATTTATCCTAAATATATTATTTTAATATAAAGGACTAAAATAAAAGAAATTAAAATTAAAGATCTGAATTAAAAGTATTATAAAATTGATTTAGTGACTAAAATGTAATGTTTACAAATTAGGGGGACGGCGGACGGGGTTTACCCTTTGTGAAATTACAGAAATACCCTCCCGAAATGACGTCGTTTGGAGAGGGTTTATAACCCAAACCGCTGGCCCGTAGGGCCAGCTTCTCATTTTATTTTCTCTGTTCTCTCTCTAACAGAGAGAACAAATTTGTTCTCTGCCTTCTCTCTAGCTTCCCTCATCGGAGGGAAGCCGGTCACCCGGACGACCGTCTGCCGCCGTGACTGTCACCGCCGCCACCGCATCCGGTGGCCGGAAAAATTTATTTTTACACTAATAGATAGATCGGACCGTCCTAAGGACGGTTCCGGTGGTATTTTCTCCTAAAAGCTCCCAATCGGAGCGAATCTACAAAAGTACTTCGGTGTTTCGAAGGTTCCGGTGAGATCTGGTGGTCGGGGCTTCCTCGGTAAGTTTCTCTTCTTCCTTTTTCCTTCTTTTTTGTTTCTGGTTGTGGGATGTTTGACTGAGATCGTTGGTTAGTAGTTTTTTTTTTCTCTGTTTTTTTCTTTCTCCGGTTCTCTCTCTCTCTTTTTTTCTGTCTCTGTGTGTTTTTTTTTCAGGTTGGGGTGGTGGCTTTTATAGCCACCACCGGTGTG